GCTGAGGTGGATGGATCACCTGAGGCTGGGAGTTCAAGATCAGCCTGGCTAAAATGGTGAAACCCTGTTTCTACTAAAAATACAAATTATCCAGGCATGGTGGGGCGTGCCTGTAATACCAGCTACTCAGGAGGCTGAGGCAATAGAATTGCTCGAACCCAGGAGGCAGAGGTTGCAGTGAGCCGAGATCGCACCATTGTACTCCAGCTTGGGCAACAAGAGCGAAACTCTGTCTCAAAAAACAACACAAAACAAAAGCAAGCAAGGTCTTATTGTGTCACCCAGGCTGGAGTGCAGTGGCGTGATCATAGCTCACTGCAGCCTTGAACTCCTGAGCTCAAGTGATCCTCCCACCTCAGCCTCCCAAGTACCTAGAACTATAAGCACATGCCACCACGCCCAGCTAGCATTTTGTTTTCTTGTGGAGATAGGGTCTTGTTATGTTGCCCGGGCTGGTCTAGAACAGCTGGGCTCAAGTGATCCACCCGCCGCAGACTCCCAAAGTGCTGGGTGAGCCACCTCACCTGGCCTTTTTTGAGTCTCCCACCTGGTCATGTGCCCTCACTCGTTTAACAGCCCAAAGCCTTTTGTTGAAACTTCTCTTGTGGCATTTGGCATATGTGAGCCAGTTATGGAGTCATCTGTGATTTGTGCTTTTGCTTGTGCACACGCATGCACACTCACGCACTCACTAGACTCTGATTCCTTGAGGACAGGAACAATATCTATTTCTCTTTGCTTGGTTTTCTGCTATATAAATCCTCAGTGAATGGAATAAGAATGAGACAATGAGGTTCTCTTTATGTGCTAGAAAGGACACTGAACTGGGATCCAGAAAACCTAAGTTCTAGCCTTGACTCTGCAGCTAATTCACAATGTGACCCTGAGCCACACATTCTCCAGTTCTGTGTCTTAGTAAAGTGAGGGGTGGCTAGGCACTCCGAAGCCCAGCTGACTGTGACACACTTCTATTTCCAAGGTTCCAGAGTTCTAGAACCCTGCTCACCCTTTTCTTTCTTGCTGATGCAGACTGGTCTGCGTGTGTCTCCCATGAACAGAGCCGTCCCAGACGTGTTCCTCGCAGGTGGAGACCAGGTACCCCGAGGCCACACTCGCCGCTGTCTTTCTGCAGTTGAATCCAGAGAGCAACTGGAGGAAGAAGAGGCGGGGGAAATAAAGGAGGGGAATGGCTCGCATGCTGTACCCCTCCGAAGGTCGGGGGCTTTCCGGGCCCATGGCCGCAACTATGACGTCTTCAAAAGACATAGTTGGGGGCCTGGCAGGGAGCTCGAGGACCCACTGACTAGGTAAGCCCCCAGGGAACCTCCTGTATCTCCTTCCCTCCAGGCCTAGACCTTGGAGAAAATGGGAAAGTGAGAAAGAACTAGGTAACTCTCTAGTTACCTCCCTGAAGAGACAACCATCCGAAGAACGACAGGAGTCGAGGAGACCTGGGCCCCCAGTCCTTTCCCTGGAGAACCGGAGCTCAATCCCACTGGTGGGGCTTTGGGGAGGATGGATGCTGCCTTCCAAAATATGCCTCTCCCCAGTGGCTCTTATCTCCTTCTCTCAGGGCAGACTGAGGGTAGTCGTGGGTGGGAGGTGTGGAGTCAGGGTGAGTATCAGGACACTGGATCTTCTTGCTTCCGCCTCCTACGGTGGGTTTCATAGAACCACATAATGGTGTCATAGAACCACATAAGGAACTCAGAAAGCATATGGCATGATCTCCTCATTTTACAGATAAGGAAACTGAGGCCCAAAGAACTTTCAGAGATTTTTTTTTTTTTTGAGACGGAGTCTGGCTCTGTTGGCAGGCTGGAGTGCAGTGGCGCGATCTCGGCTCACTGCAACCTCCGCCTCGCGGATTCAAGCAGTTTTCCTGCCTCAGCCTCCTGAGTAGCTGGGGCTAAAGGTGCATGCCACCATGCCCAGCTAATTTTTGTATTTTTATTAGAGACGGAGTTTCACCATGTTGGCCAGGATGGTCTCAATCACTTGACCTTGTGATCCACCCACGAAGTGGGGCCTGCCAAAGTGGTGTGATTACAGGGATGAGCCACACGCCTAGCCGTGAACTTTCAGAGATTTCTTGAGAGAGGTGGTCACAGGGTGGGACATTGGGCCTGCCCCATTGCCAGGTCCTTGCCGGGCTTTTGGTTGCAGGCTGAGGACAACCCAGGATGCCTTAGATTAATTCATGGTCCCGCATTGCCACGTGAGATCAGTTGTTCTTGCTCAGACTTCTGCATATACTTGGTGGACTGGAGCAGAAAAATCATCTCTTCCCCCTCCCGTGGAAAACCCCTGACCACTTCCCCAAAGTCAGAGGAAGTCAGAAAGAGAAGGTCCGGGGGTCAGCATGAAGAGTTCAGTGTGAGTGAACATTGTAGGGGCTGCTGGCCATGGAAGGGCACTGTCTTTCTGCTTTGAAAATGGTCCCCTTGAACAAGTTCTTTTAGCTCTGGTGAGTGGACCAACCTTCCCTAGCTCCTGGGCAGGGCTGGCTGGTTTGAGTGAGGGGAGAGGACCCTGGGCCTTGTCCCTGAACTGGCTTGGGTGGGAACTCAGATGAGAAGCAATGCCTGCAGGGCTCATGGCACCTTCCTAAGGGTAGCTGGCTGGAAGAGAGATGCCCAAATGCCTGGGCCCCCCTATGTGGCACCAACTGTATCTCAGGGTCTTTCAAGTGTCACCCACCTTTCAGAGTCAGGTATTAATTCTGCCCCTTGGTTAGAGAGGGAAGGGAGTCCTGAGTGCACTATTTGGCTGAGCAGGGGCAAAGGTTGGCATCAGCAACCAGGCAAGGAGGGAGAATTCAGCTTGCTCTTGCTGTTCGCCTTCCCCTGAACCCTGGCTTTCTTCTGGAGGCAGTACTGCCCTTTGACCAGCAGGGGCCACTCTTGCTCACAGCCAACTCTGCAGCCCTGGCAAAGCAGAGCCCCAAAGTGGGACCAGTTTGGGTCTATGTTGTGCCTATGCCAACAGGAAGGGCTGGGCTGGGGGCAAGCAATAGGGCTGGGCTGAGGCGAGGCGGTGTTCCTCCCTGGTGCCCGTCACTGGCCACTGGATACAGACAGTAGTGGTGGCAATGTGTGTTTCAGGAGGAGACTGGGAGCATCGGGATGCCCAGGCCCCGAGGAGGCCCCCTACTTGCAGAACCAAGAAGAACTGGACACCTTTCTGGGACTGCAGCACCAGGGTGGCTACCCTTCGCGGCTGGTATGGACAGACAGATCCCCATGAAGGGCCCTGCCTTGCTCCTCCTCTCCTGCCCCTCGCCTGTCTAGCCACCGTTCTATTCCATGTCTCCTCTGTTCTGCCAGCTGCTGGGTCTCTCTGTGTCCAGGCATTGCTCTGACTCCATCTGACCGAATCAGAATCTATCCTCTATGTGCCTCTGTCTGCTTCCCTGGGTCTGTGTGCTCTGTCCCTGACTCTGGGTACCCTGCCTCTGTCTCTTTCTCTAAGACTCTCTGTTTTTTCCTTTCTGTGTTGGTGCCTCTGTGCTGATGAGGGTGTATCTGTTCCTTTCCCAGTAAAAGGGCCCTATTCCCCTAGTAATGATAACCACTTCTTTCTGTGGACCCCACATTTCCCCAATTTGGAGCTGAACTTATTTATTTATTTACTTATTTATTTACTTATTTATTTTGAGACAGGGTCTCACTCTGTTGCCCAGGCTGGAGTGCAGTGGCACGATCTTGGCTCACTGCACCTCTGCCTCCCGGGATCAAGTGATTTTCCTGCCTCAGCCTGCCAAGCAGCTTGGATTACAGGTGCCCGCCACCACACCCTGCTAGTTTTTGTATTTTTAGTAAAGATGGGCTTTCACCATGTTGGCCAGGCTGGTCTCAAACCCCTGGCCTCAAGTGATCCACCCGCCTTGGCCTCTCAAAGTGCTGGGATTACAGGTGTGAGCCACCATGCCCAGCCTGGAGCCGAACTTATTATCTGTGGAATGCAACTAAGATCTGGTACTCTGAACAATAATAATTCTCTAACAAAATAATCATAGAATGATCGATGGAGAAAGGATATAGAGATTGCCCAGCCTTCTGGCTTAAGTAAACACAACTGGGGGGATCTTCAGAGTTTAAGGACCACTGAGGATACAGAAGGGCTTTGGAGACCCCACTGGGCCTGCTAGCCAGGAGACCCTAAGTACACCGATTGTCTCAAGCCTGCTGGCTAAATGTTGCCTCCCCTCCAGCTCATCGTCTAACTGGCCAGGGGTTCCAACACTGGCCTCATTGTTTGGGCACCTATGGTTTGGGGGAGAGGCTGAAGGGAGCTGTATATAGCCTGTCAGGGAAGCAGCAAAAATCACCCCCTTTTTTTTTTTTTTTTTTTTTTTGAGATGGAGTCTTGGTTTGTTGCCGAGGCTGGAGTGCAGTGGCACGATCTCGGCTCACTGCAACCTCTGCCTCCCAGGTACAAACAATTCTCCTGCCTTAGCTTCCTGAGTAGCTGGCATTACAGGTGCCTGCCACCACGCCTGGTTAATTTTTCTATTTTTAGTAGACACAGAGTTTCACCGTGTTGGCCATGCTGGTCTCAAACTCCTGACCTCAAGTGATCCCATCAACTGCTTTTCTCTATCAGCATCTTTGCATGTCTACCCTGAGCCCCATTTCAATGTGCTATAGTAGAAAGGACAGGATTTTGGAGTTGAACTGACTGCTAGATCCTTCATTTATTTACCCACTGAGCAATTTATTTCATTTTTCTGAAAATCAGAATAATAATTATCTTTTAAAGGTGTGATTATTAAATGAACAAAAGGTGTTAAAGTACTCAGCACAGAGGCTGGCACATAAGATGAGCTCAATAAATGTTTTTCCTTTTCTCCCCTTTATTCCTTTGTAACTTTCCCTCTCTTCCACCTTTCTCTTCTCTTCCCCACTTCTTGGTATTATGTTTTCTTCCTTCCCCCTTTTCCCTAGTGTTTTCTTCCTTCTTATGCCTTCCTTCTCTACTGCCTCAGCACTCTTCACCTAATCCTTACACGTTCTCCTTAATATTCTCTTTGTCTATATGTTTGGGGGTTTTGTTTTACTTTCTTCCTGCAGTAGCCAGTGTGAATAAGTACTACACTAATGTCCACAAACCAAAAGCTTGAGACTTATTAAGCTAAACAAGGGGTTACAGACTGACAGTCCATGACCCAAGTCTAGCTCCAATATTCATTTTGTTTGGCCAGTAGCGTGCTTACACTTTTAAAACTTTAGATGTTCCTTTCATTTTTCTTTCAGAGTCTTGTCACCCAGGCTGGAGTGCAGTAGAGCAATCATGGCTCACTACAACTTCCACCTCTCAGGCTCAAGTAATCCTCACTCCTCAGCCAACTGAGTAGCTGGGACTACAGACACACACCACTACGCCTGGCCAAATATTTGTATTTTTGTAGAGATAGGGTTTCCCTATGTTGCCCAGGCTGGTCTCGAACTCCTGGCATCAAGTAATCTGCCCACCTTGGCCTCCCAAAGTGCTGGGATTACAGGTGTCAGCCACTGTGCCCAGCCAAGATTTTTTTTTTTCCCCCATATGAATATCAAGTTGCTCCAGTATCACTTATTTATTTATTTATTTATTTATTTTGAGATAGAGTCTCACTCTTGCCCAGGCTGGAGTGCAGTGGACAATCTCAGCTCACTGCAGCCTCTGGGTTCAAGTGATTCTCATGCCTCAGCTTCCCAAGTAGCTGGGATTATAGGCACGTGCCACTGGGTCTGGCTCATTTTTTTTGTATTTTTGTAGTGACAGGGTTTCACCACGTGGCCCAGGCTGGTCTTGAACTCCTGG